ATCCTAGACAGACAAGAGTGACTAGCAACATGTCATACCCATCCAGGACCCACATTAGTATGCAGTCCTATAAGGCTGTGACCAGCAAAGTTGTAGGGGTGGGAATGTTCAGGTATTGGGGACCAACCCCTTGGGTCTGCCCTGCTGGTTTCTGGTCTTGTTTTGGGGCAATTCACCCTTTATATTGGCCTATTCTTTCCTTTTGGAATGGGAAGGTATATCCCATTGTATACAATGGCCTCCCACCATTGTATGCTGGAAGGAGATAACTTATTTTGATATTCTAGGCTTACAGCTAGAAAATGAGCTCACTTTGAGTCTTAGATAAAACTCTGTTCTTTTGAATTAATGCTAGAATAAGTTAAAACTCTGGGACTATTGCGGAAGGAAAAGTTGTATTTTGCATCGAACATTGAGATACAGGGGTAGAATGCAATGGTCTTGATATGGTTTGAGTATATCCTCCAAGTTTTCATGAGTCATTAAGAGGGTGGAAACTTAATCCCATTATGGTGATTAGAGTTGGCACCTTTGAGAAGTGATTAGGATTAGACAAGATCATGAGAGTAGAGCCTCCACAACTGAATATTGGTGGCTTTACAAGAAGATGTGGGGGAGAGATATGAGAAGAGACAAACAAAGATAGTGCTCTATCTTCTCCAAGTGATGTCCTACATCTCCTTATTCTGCTAGCAAGAAGGCCATTGACAGATATAGTCCCTCAACCTTGAACCTGCAGAACCATGAGCCAAAATAGTAAAGCAATTTTCTTTATATAGTTGTCTGCCTTAGATATTTTGTTATAGTAATGAAAAACAGATTAATATACTTTGTATCTTTATCTTTTTACCTGTTATATTTCACCTGCTTTCCTATATTGTAGTGTTTCTTGAGGACAGAAGTAGGCCACATGAGCTTTTGTATCTACATTATACATGGCTCAAGACTTCCTATACAGAAGCTGGTTTGGGTTGTTCAAGTTAGAGACAACAAAATCTAAACAGTTTGCCTGAATGATGATCTCAAGATTATCTTTGTAAAAGCATAAAATAGAGAAAATACAGCATTTTCATTTATTATTCTTCACCAAGCCCTCTTAGTCAAGGTAGAATGTCTTAAAATAATAAAACTTAGAAACTACCACAAATGATTATTTTATCTTGCTTAGATGATTATTTATTGTTTATAGCTTTCTTTTCTTTCAATGGAATGTGAATTCCTTAAACATACAGTCCCAACTTTCTAATTTCTCTTCATCAGCACTATGTATTAGTACTTACTAAATCTTATCATAAATACAGACAGACAAAACAAACCTGGTTCATTTATTAGGGGAAATTCTATGAATAAATGAATAATGAGGTGATTGGTAGCACCATATATTGAAATGTGGAACAAAGGGGAAGACTAGGTTAGGGACATAGGAAATCATATAAGGTTTGGGACATGTTAAAGTTAAGTTAACTGCTACATATTCAATGGGAGGAGATGAGTGGGCAGTTCAGTTCAATATGTAAGTCTGGGGCTTAGGAAAAGATGACAGAGAGAAAAACTTGGGAGTCATCAGCACACTCCCAATCAAAACTCCTGAATAACATTTATTGATTTCCGTATATTGAACCATCCTTGCATCCCAGGGATGAATCCTACTTGATCATGGTGCACAAAAATTTTTGGAGATTCCTGGGAAAGCTGGGAATGGAACCACCATTTGACCCTGCTATTGCCCTTCTCGGACTATTCCCTGAAGACCTTAAAAGAGCATGCTACAGGGATGCTGCCATATCGATGTTCACAGCAGCACAATTCACAATAGCTAGACTATGGAACCAGCCCAGATGCCCTTCAATAGATGAATGGATAAAAAAATGTGGCATCTATACACAATGGAGTACTATGCAGCAATAAAAATGACAAAATCATGGAATTTGCAGGGAAATGGATGGCACTAGAGCAGATTATGCTTAGTGAAGCTAGTCAATCCCTAAAAAACAAATACCAAATATCTTCTTTGATATAATGAGAGCAACTATGAACAGAGCAGGGAGGAAGAGCAGGAAGAAAAGACTAACATTAAACAGAGACATGAGATGGGAGGGAAAGGGAGAGAAAAGGGAAATTGCATGGAAATGAAGGGAGACCCTCAATGCTATACAAAATTTCATATAAGAGGTTGTGAGGGGAATGGTAAAATAAACAAGGAGAGTAATGAATTACAGTAGATGGGGTAGAGAGAGAAGATGGGAGGGGAGGGGAGGGGGGATAGTAGGGGATAGGAAAGGTAGCAGAATACAACAATTACTAATTGGGCATTATGTAAAATTGTGGATGTGTAACTGACGTGATTCTGCAATCTGCATTTGGGGTAAAATTGGGAGTTCATAACCCACTTCAATCTAATGTATGAAATATGATATGTCAAGAGCTTTGTAATGTTGTGAACAACCAATTAAAAAAAAAAAAAAAACTCCTGAATAAGATCACCAGGAAAGTAGAGATGAGACAAGGCTAAGTATTGCCTTGGGGCACTCAAACATTTACAGTTGGAATGAGAAGCATCAAAGAAGAGGTTCTCTACTGTATCTAGAAACCACATAAAGAAAGAATTACAAGGAAGAGGGAATACTTAGACCAAATGCTATTGGATAATAAAAAGAAAAAACTTGAGAACTATTAGTTTGGCAATATTGGGTTGCTGACTTTGATAAACACCTTTGTATTGGAGTAGAAAGCATGAAAGCTTAATTAAAGAGGGTCCAGGAGAGAGTCAAAGGTTAACTACAAAGAATATAAATGAGGTATATAGAAACTCTTTAGGAACACTGCATAAAGACAAGCAGAGAAATGGGAAGACACAGAGAAGCAGGATTAATATAAAGTTTTTTGTTGTTGTTGTTTTAAGAGGGAAGATGCGTTTGGATGCTGGCAGAAATAATCCAGTATATTTAAAAAAAAAAGTTGAATATAAGGAGAGAGAAAAAGAATAAGTATAGAACAAAGCTCATCAGGTAAAAGGGAAATGGATCCAGAACAGATGCTGGCCACAGACAGTAGTGGGGATAATTCAAAGACTGAGAGAGGAAGAGACAAAGTATTAATGCTAAAAATACGACAGACAGTAGATGCAGTGGTGAAAAATGAAGTTTTGTCAATTTCTTATGGAAACAAAAAGTATGGTCAACAAATGAGAGTGTGGAGAGAATAGATGGTCAAGATTTAAGAAAAGGAGTTATAAAATAATTATCCTGGAATGTTCTGGTGAGCCACTTAGGGCCAGACTAATCCATATGGTTACATTGCTTTACCCTATTTAAGTGCTCAGTGGAAGGCCAGAGTAAATAGAAGACTGCATTTAACCTGTTTGTTGGATTTTTGCAGGTAAGTATGACTTGAAGAGAAATGAGAAATACTAGTTAAAGATGTATGGAAAGGGGCTAAGGTTGTGGCTCAGTGGCTTGCCTAGCACGTGCAAGGCCCTGGGTTCGATTCTCAGCACCACATAAAAACAAATAAAATAAAGGTATTGTATCTAACTACAACTAAAAAATAATTTTAAAAATGTATGGAAAACAGAGATTGTAGTAAAGAACTATAGGTGAGATCCAGCCTGGGTAAGAAAAAAAATATAAGAGGTAAGTGATGGAGTAAAACGAATGATAGACTGCCAGTCCTCTTGGGGTTAATAGAAAGCTGAATTGAAGCACCAAGAGGAGGTGCTGGAAACTGGGATTTTAGAGGTCAGTTTTAGTTATTGTTAGAAGCAAAGACTTAGAATTTAAACTATAATCAAAAAGTTTAAAAGTCATCTTTGATTATTTTTTCTTTCTTTCTCAATACATATCCTGATCTATCAGCACATTATACGAGTTCTACTTTCAAAACATATCCCAACATATGGACTCACTGCTTTCACCCCATGCCAACCTGTCATCATCAGTTCTCTTCTGGGCTGGTCTCCTGGTTCCAATAAGGTCTACTCTACAGTCTACCCTAGCCAGAGCAATCTTAAAATATAAATGAGATCACTTCACTTCTCCTCTCAAAATACTCATGTTATCTTATCTCACTTAGAATCAAAAGTCCTTATAACCTGTGTTATCTGGCACTTGTTTACCTCTTACTTATACCACTCTCTCCTTTGTGTATTTTTGCTTAATCAAACAGGCTGCCTTGTTTTTCCTTAAGCATACCAAAGTATCCTCTTTTTTTCCTTTTAAAATATTTTTTTAGTTGTAGATGGACACAATATCTTTATTTTACATATGTTTGTATGTATGTGGTGCTAAGAATCGAACCCAGTGCCTCATGCATGCGAGGCAAGCGCTCAACCACTGAGCTACAACCCCAACCCCCCAAAGCATCCTCTTATCTCAGGGACTTGGAACTTGTTCTCTCTAGTAGATTCCTTTTCCAGACATTCTCAGAGACATTTTTCTTACTTATTCAACTTTCTGCTCAAAAGTTATCTACTCACAAAGGCTCTCCCTTCTCCCCTTAAATATTCCCTTTTTCTTCCCCTGCTATAAAACTTTCTGCAGAACACTTATCATTTCCTGTTAGTACATTATATATTTATCTACTTTTTATCCCCCACAGTAAGGTAAACTCTACAAAGGTTAGGGTTAGACAGATTTCATCTGTTGTCCATTACTCAGAACAATGCTTATAAAACAACACATAAATCTCAATAAACATTTGTTGGATAAATGAATGAATGAATGACTCAAAAAATTATACAAGATCACTTGTTTTTAACTTTTTTGGCAGTACTGGGGCTCAAACCCATGGTTCTGCACATACTAGGCAAGTACTCTACCACTAAGCTATATCCCCAGCAAGATCACTTATTTCCTGATTGGAAGATTCCAAAGATGAAAACCAACTTTTCTGATTTTCTGAAAATCATTATGTGAGAATTCATTAGTTTTGTGTTAAAAAAAAAAAAGAAAAACATATACAGTAAGATTAACTTTAAGATGTATTATGCATTAAGCAGTTACCTGATCTTTGAGAAATTTTCTGATGTTTCGATGGGCTCGGGAACATTCTGTTAATAAGCTGAGAACTGGAGTTAGACCCTCTCTATAGCTGCTTCCCTACAAAGAAAACCATACATGCTCTATTAGTTTAGTTTCTGAAAGTATTCCTTTCCTCCATGTAACATGAGCATATGAATCACTTTCTTTGGTGGTGGGGAGCAGGATACATTAGTTTTTTCCTAACAATATTTCCATTTTTTTCCCCCAGTTATTTTCATGTTTATTGACTGGTTTTATCCTTCCTTGATTTTCCTATATTTTCTAGGGTTCCCTCAGCTCAAGGTATGTGCTTAAATGAAACAAAGGTTATGGTGACCTACCTATGCTCCCCTGCTGCCTTTTAACATAATTACTTGATAAACTGAGTGGCAGATCAGAGAAAATAAACAGTTCACACGTAGAAGATTGGAAAAAAATTTTTCAAAAAATGTCTTTTAAAGGCATTACAGAAAATATCATCAAGTTTTTTGATGGGATGATTTTTACTTTTGAGACTTTCAAAGTACCTACATGAAGGAGTAATTATTTTTACCTGTATTTTCAGGCAATAGTTACAAATTTGGTAAACATGTTGCAAAAACAAATATTCAGCATTAAGCAAATAAATTCATTACTTTTCAGTAATTCATCCTATATTACAATAAAATGCTTTCTAAAGTAGAATTAAGCAATATGTCAGCTATATAAAAAAAGCTTAGATTTAAAAATCATGCTCTGTGGTCTGTTTGTATGTAGGGCACATTTACATACTTTAGAAGCATCTTCTCAAAGTCTTCCACTCTATCAGCCTTACCTTGTCTATTCTCTTCTCCATAAAATTGAGTAAAACATGAATGGCTTCCATATTCATACCATTGTATTCCATGGTATTGTTTTTCAAAACTGTTTCTTTCTCAGCTGTTTTATCACTGGGCAGTTCATCTAAAGTCGTTGCCTCTTGGGCTGTTTCTTCATGGGTTAATGGACAAATGAGAACATCCAAACAAGAGACGGGAACATTGCTTAAAAGGTTGACTGCATTGCTGAAAAGCAATTTAAAAATACAATATTTTAACTTGATTGAACACTCATTTATAATGCAAACATAATAATAATAAGTTCAGAAGTGACTTTTAGAATCAGTTAAAATTTTTCTTTTTCAAAATAAGCCATTAATATTACTTGGACCTTACTAAAAGAAAATAAAAACTGTCTCAAATACTACATTTGACAAAATTAGGAAGAACAGATGTAAAATGGATAGACAAAAATCAAATGATGTCAGGTCACTTTCTGAAATGCTACAATAGGATTAAGTGAGCTTTAATGTCAGCCCTTTAATTTTATCATGACAACAATGCTAGCTTTGCATTTTCTTGGGGAGGGGGCAGTTTTATATCCTTTTGTGCATCTACTGGTGTTTTATTTCTTTTTAATTTAATTAATTTATTTTTTGGTACCAGGAATTGAACTCAGGTGTGCTTAACCGCTGAGCCACACCCCCAGTTCTTTTATACATTTTATTTAGAAACAGGGTCTCACTGAGTTGCTTTAGCACCTCACTAAGTTGTTGAGGCTGGCTTTGGAACTCAAGAACCTCCTGCCTCAGCCTCCTGAGCTGTTGGGATTACAGGTGTGTGCCACCACATCCGCTTCCACTGGTGTTTTATTATTCCTTAGCTTACACCATAAAGCATTCAAGAAGAAATGCATATAAACAGCTTATCACAATAGGCTGTCAACACTGTAGTACTAAATTTTGTTCTTTCTAGATGTACAAATACAATTTTTAAGTCATCCCATTTTGTGTAAGACATTTACAGAAAAAAGGAAAATGGTGTTTCTTTTCTCTTTCATCAGATATGATAAGATTAGAAATAGCCTCATTTCTAATCTCCATCTCCTAGGCCTTTTGATTATACATTAAGGAATACTTGAGCTTGAAATGCACCAGTAGGGGGAACTCAAACCTTGTATTTTTGGCATTCCCTGAAAACCTTGTTCTGTTACTCAGTGTACAAGAGAAATGACACTAACCGTTTAAAACTTAGACATGTTCTCAATGAGCATATTTCCCTTCAGGTATTATTTCATATTTTCATCTAAAAGAAGAGGTAGTATTATATGCTAACTGGATCTTAAATGCCTGAGCCTCAGAACTTCCTGATAAACAACAATGGAAAGACAGGCATTACATTTCCTAGTGACAGAGAAGCAGATCTAAAAATAACCACATCCTGACTAAAAATAAACTCTTGCAAATGCAATTTAAAAGTCTAACCACTTGGAAACCAAGTTCAGGGCTTAAACCATCTGATACTTTCTTAATTTAGATCATCGTAGTCTAAAATTTAAATTATAGTGACACTATTAAAAAAATAGGAAAATAAAAACACCAAGGTTTTTATTTCCTTTGCCATGAATTGTGGTTCTATTCCTCCAAGAATAAATACTTCCTTTCTCTTTATTTATTTATTTATTTTTTTTTACTGGAAGTTAGTATTCTTAATTCCTCAAAGATCAGTGATCCTACATACTGCCAGTTCTCTTTATGTTATAGAAAAATAAAAATTGGTAAGAAATCTGTTTGAAAATTAAACAATCAATGCAGAATAATGAGGAATAATGTACAGAGCATTAAAATATGAAATATGAGCAAAAAAATAATTTATCCAGTCTATAAATAAACAGTTCTTGATAAAATACAAGTTATTTGGGTGTTCTCACTAAAATCTACCCCTATTTCTATTACACAAAGTCTAATTTTGGTTATTTGTAAATAATCAAAGGTAGTTGAAATATAATGCTTTCCCCACAAACCTTCTTTTAAAAATTTTTTGCAAGCTTCTGTAGTACCTTATTTATAGTTTAAAATGGTTCATTTCTGATTTAATAAGCATCTGGAAATTGCTATTAAATACAATAAATTCACTGGGGGAAAAAAAAAGCCTAGGGGAAAAAAATAAAGACTACCTAAGAGTGACTTTCTAAAACTATACAAACCATTGTGAAATGTTAGAATTTTTTTCCCCCCTAAATATAAGACAATAATCTCTGGACTCCATCAACAGTATGATTCTCTAAATCTATCAAAGACCAGACTGAAAAGTTTAAGATAGGGCATTTCATTACAAAAAATGTTTCCCCTTTAAATCTGTTTAAATTTAAACAGTTTCCAGGAATTCAGTAAATTTAAGAAACCACATGTAGGGCTGGAATCAACAAATATTTGGAGGTTTTAGGCTTTTCAAGAAAAGTTCCCATATTCTCATTTCTTATTAAACAACTGGGTTCCCAAACAACTACAAAATTAATTTTCTGGCTCACTGTGTTTGAGCTATTCTTTTTAAGTAAGGAAGGCAAGCTTTTTGAGCTCTGTCACTTCTCTGACAGTTTTATTTGTGGTAGAAGAGTGTATGAAATTCTCCAGCTACCAGGAAGTCAGTGACTATGCACAGATTTGCACAATGGTGTTTGCATTCCTACTCCAGGGGGTAGAAATACTGTGTATATTACTCTCTCCTTTTCAGCTTCCTAGAGATCATTAATCACTGGGACATGACATCCTCTGGCTCTGGCTCCCAGCCCCCTCCTGATATGCAGATTCAAAAAGGTCTATTTAAGAGCTCCGTAAAGCCCAATTAAAGCTTTGTGGCAAAGGGAAGACAATCTAAAATCTAGTCCTCTATCAATCGCTGAACTAACAAAATTTAACACCAAATAACAATGATGAGCATGCTAATAGCCCATGTATGTCTACAGATATTAATAAATCTTTCTGGTCAAATGCTCTTTATATTTGTGGTTCATATCTTTTTGTCAAGGTTGGAAAGTCTATTAAAACAAATCTTAAGATCTCCAAATGACTTCCCTTCTACTTTATTAAAAAGAAGTTTTTTAAAAATAATTCTTTCTTTTGTGGTAAAAGCACATAAGATCTACCCCCTCAGCAAATTTTAATTATACAAAACAGTATTGTTAACTACGGGCTCTATGTGTACAGTAGATCTCCAGAACTTACAACTAAATTCTGTGTTCTTTGGAAGATACCTCCCCCAACTCACACCCACACCCCCACTACTGTCTTATTTGCTATAAGTGTCACTATTTTAGATTCCTCATAAACATGGGATCATGAAGTGTTTGTCCTTTTGTGTCTGATTTAATTTATTATACTGACTTCTATAGCCACCTATGTTGTTGTAAATGATAGGATTTTTTTTAAGGCTGAATAATATTCTATTATATGTACATGCCCCAATTTCTTTGTTCAATCATCTGCTGATAGATATTTGTTTCTATATCCTGGCTATTGTGAATGGTGATAATGAACATGGGAGTACAGATGTCTCTTCGAGATAGTGATCTTATTTTCTTTAGCTATATACCCAAAAGTGGGATTGCTAGATCAAAAATGGTAATTCTATTCTATTTCTAATTTATTGAGGAACCTCTCTGTTTTCTATAATGTCTACACCACAATAGTAGTTTACATTGTTCCTAACAGCTTACAAAAATTCCCCATTCTACACATCCTCAATAACCCTTGTTATTTTTTTTATAATAGCCATTACAACACATGTGAGGTGCTTACTGTGCTTTTGATTTACACTTTTCTAAAGATTAGTGATGCTGAACACTTTTCATTTATCTATTGGCCATTTATCTCTCTTCTTTGGAGAAATGCCTATTTAGGTCCTAGGCTTTTCCCCTAAATATTCTTCTAAGAGTTATTGTTTCAGATGTTACATTTAAGTAATTAATCAATTTTGAATGTGTATGGTGTGAGGTAAGGGTCTAGTGTATTCTTGGCATCCCAGCTAAAGTACAGTTGACTGTATATGTGTGGATTTATTTCCAGGCTTTCTATTCTGTTTCACTGATCTGTATGTCTGTTTTTATGCAAAAAAGTGTTTTGATTATTGTAGCTTTGCAATATATTATGAAATCAGATGCCTCTCACATTGTTCTTGCTCAAAGCTGCTTTGGTTATTCAGGGTCTTTTGTGATCCTCTTCCTTCTCCTCAAGGAAGAATGGAAAAGAAGGAAGAAAGGCTGGAAGGCAGGCCAGCAAGTAGGCAGAAGATGACTCTGTATTCAAACTACTCTGCCCTCCTCTTCCTATGGTAAGATAGTTTATTGATGACCTTAAATCAGAGTTGTGCTGGCAAGTAGTAGATGAAGAAGCCTGGTTATGGTAGATAAAGAATGAATATAGGGTAAATCCATGGAAATAATAGGTCTAAACTGCAAAGTGGTGTGGGGCATATGCAACCATATTGGCACATAAAATGATCCATTGGAGTGCAGATTCTATTTTTTAATTTTTATCTAAAAAGGTGAAAAGAAGTTTTACTAACATTTAATAAATACACTGACATTGGTACCCAACCTGAATCATGTATCAGGTGCTCCCCATTTGTAAACATATGCATAGTATCTTGAGGTAAGAGCTGAAATTTCACATCAAAGATTTGATGGAATCATGAATAGAGGATGCAAGAGGACTGACCAGGAAGAAGAGATTTCCCAGATGAGGCTGCAGATCAAAAATAAATGCACAGTGATTTCCCCACCCCCTTAAAAGGGCTTCTTTTATTCCTTAAGACAGAAAGAAGCCATAAGAAGATTTTAAGCAGACATTTGCTTTGATCTGTCAGATTACATAAAATTTACCCATAGGGCTCATTAGCTTGAGTATGCAACTGTAATGGAGGTGGTCTGTCAGATCTAGAATGGGTATGTTGAGACTGGCAGGACATGGTAATGAGGGAAAAGAAAGAGGTTGAAATGATGAACCAATGTTTAGGGACAGGAGGGGGGGAAAAGTAAACCCCTTACAAGCAGCTTCTAGATAGAATAAAAAGTAATCAACAGAAGTGTGGAAGAAGATGGAGAATAGGAAGAGTATGAGTGAGGAAGATTTCCTCTGGAATGAAGAATTCCGGACCACAGTGGGCTTGTCCATTACTTTAGTTAGCAATTATTATTTGAATAAAATTCACTGGGAAACTACTCAAAAACTACCTTGCAATATATTTCT